TTATCTAAGATGTAATTAACTATAGGGGTTTGCCCTTATAGGAAGCTTTTCCCGAACCCAGCATAATATAAACCCTATTTAATTCCTTATATTAAATAGGGGAACTTGTCGGCCAATATATTGGTTTCGCAGACCAAACGGATGTCATAACTTTCTTTAGTTTATTTGATCGAGCCTCACTCTCAATTCTTGTGTTCATCCTTCGGGATAGATACATGATTTGAGATAAAGTGTTCTTTCATCTAAACTATGAAAATTATGGGGTCAGTTTCACTTCATCTCTTTCAAAACTAAATTTTTTTTAAAAAAAAAAAACGTCCTTCCGAAGCGGGCAACGAGATTTCAATTCCGATGACCGACAACTTCTTACGGGCAAACCCCACACCAAAAATAGTGCCGACAGACACCACTTAACCTCTCGAAATCAGGAATGTGATACTTTGTGTCTGCAAATGACTTTAAATACCCTATCTGTAAAGGATATCCGACATCCACCAAATAATATTTGTCTGACATGAATTACACTAATAACTAATAACAACCCTTGAAGAAAAAATCCAATAAATTAATCAAAGTTAAAATACCTTGAGGCGGGTGTGGGAAGCATTGTTGGCTGTTATTTGTCGCAAATCTAAAAAGGCGACTGTTATGTGCACTTCCTTCCCATCTGACCATCACAAATGGGAAGCACGTGTTGAAGTCACATACATCAATTACATTTTGTGTAGGTGAACTACATCGTCCAATGTACGCAACATTTTCATTGCTAGGGAGCCGAGCATCAACGTGTGTACCGTCCATTGCCCCAATACAGTTCTGTATTGATTTGTTAGTGATCACAATGACATCATATAAATTATATTTTGAAATAAAAAATAATAATTGAATAGACTAACCTTGAATAATAATATGTAGCGCGTCATTGGCTATTTTGGTGGGAATTATACTGAAAGTTGGATCTTCTGACTTAATTACATGTGAAACAAGACTAATTAGTGCTCTTATACCAGTAGAGAAGTATCAGCTTATTGTCTCTGATGAATGTTGAAATCACTTCATAGCTCCCCTGATTGATTCATTTTGAGATAAAATAAACAATGTAATTGCCAACACCTCTCTTGTAGTAGTTTTGACCGAACCTACAAGACCGTGATTCATTCGTAGTTCGTTCAGAAGATCCAAAAAAAAGAGCACGGTCATGCGAAATAAGTTGTTGTATCTTATAGAATGTCCAACAAACATCTCGCTCACCCATTTATCCTCAATAAACGATGAGGTCATTCGCGGTGTTTGTACTCTGTTTGAGCGGTAGTACTCTAATAACAATATAAGAATTGCACAGCCATTCTTTTGCGGCGTTCTCGGTATAACACTAATCGCCACAGATACATCCAGTATGAATGTTAAATGATGTATTATGCATAAACAATTTCATAAAGGAAAGACAAAGAAATCAAACAAATATCCAAAAAGAGACTATTTCGAAAAAAATATACTACTCCAATATATATATATATGTTGTGCATATCAAAGAATTCACCTAAAACCTAAAGCAAAATATTCATTACAATAAGCTAATACAATAGATATGAGATATGAAAGATTCATTTATCAATTGAGAGACACAAACAATCATAACTCAGCTCGGGGCGGAATAGTAGTCGTCGCAGATCCATCCCGTATGAATGTTGTATTATGCATAAACAATTTCATAAAGGAAAGACAAATAAATCAAACAAATATCCAAAAAGAGACTTTCCCGAAAAATATACTACTAAATAAAAAATAAAATATGTATATATATATATATATATGTGTGTGTGTGTGTTGTGCATTTTAAAGAATTCACGTAAACCTAAAGCAAAATATCCATTACAATAAGCAAATACAATAAATATGAGATATGAAAGATTCATTTATCAATTGAGATGCACAAACAATCATAACGTAGCTCAAGGCAGAGCCTCTTGAAAATCTGTCTGCTGGTTGGGTCCTCGAGAACTCTACACATTTTAAGTAGAATATACGATCAACAATAACTTATAGAATTTCATCTAAAAAACACATAAAACCATCAACGGTGGGAACATCCTCCATAGGTTCAATTGATATCAGAGCTTCAAATATAATTATCAGTCAATCAATTGAGCTCTACACGAAAACATCTTTCTCTGTTCCATTTTTTTTCCATCTTACGCCTCTTTGATTGGCCAGTTGGCTCAAGCTCTCTAAGGTTTATACTAGGGCCTTCACCTGAACTGATAACCTGATTGGGCATCACATCAACTGAGATGCCAATAAAACCCTGCTCGCTTGGGTTGAACATATGCTGACTCGTAGCGACAACCCCTTTGAACATAACATCAAATTTGTCTTCCAAGTCCGGCTCAATTCCACACAACTTAAATTTCTTTGCATTAGGTACTGCCTGCAACGAGGAGGGAGGGGATAGGAGCATATTAGGTGAAATATAAGCATAAATGTAAATTAACTGAAGAGTTTGCAGGAGTACAATCATTACCTCTAATTTTTCAATCCACCATTCCTCTGAAGCGTCTACGGTACGGTTGACAGGATCCCAACCCAATCCCGTCGATCCCCGTTTAAGTTCTTTCCATAACATTCAATATTTCTTTAGTTGATCCCACTTGTTTTTGAATTTAAATCTATCGTAAGATCGTCCTGTCAATTCTTTAAACTTATTGGAAATATTCTGCCACCATTCATTGTTAAAGTAGGTTGCCGGTCTATTTCCATGTTCAATCTCCCCAATACAGAGATTGCAGAAAATGTTGGTAACTTCCTTGTCCAACATTGTTGATGTAGCTCCTTCTTTGTTTTTAAGCATAATGAGACTACTAAAAATTATGGATCAAATAATGTACTCATATTGATAGTATAATAAAAAAGCAGTTGAAAAAAAAAACATTGCCTTAGATAAAAAAAGAAATTCATGTGATGTATGTCTTCTAAAATGAAGTACAAATATTTTCAAACATAAATAATTTGAAAGAATGCTAACAATGTTTGATTTGGTAATAACCCAATGCCGACTCAGAAAACAGTCCAAACTGAAGATCCAGAAATATTATTTGCATTACATGTTAACTTTGGCCACAAGACTGATATTGCATTTGAAGCTATTCAACTGCATCTCAAAAATCCTTTAAATTATAAATAAAAAATAACTCCTAATCACATTTAAGAAGCTTTCCTTCTCAAACACAACAATTTCCTTGTGCAGCCATGTTTGCTTTAGGAAAGGTCAAGCACAACATAAGGTAGCTATTAATGAGCCAAACAAAATTTAAGGGTTTGCCTCATCAATTTATCATCCATCATATTACCGAGCTAAATGCCCTCATGTTGTAAATGTGCATTCGGCCTTTATTCAAGAATTTGAACTATTACTCTAGTTTAGCTTCTAAAAGCAATGCCTCCAATTTTGACCCAATATTTTCATTCCATACCTCATAATGATCAAAGAATATCACTGTAGGAAGTCCACAACACCTTTAAATAATAGTATCAACGCAAAGAAGCATAGGTATTACACAATACAAGAACCAAACATCATATCCATAACAAAAAATAACATCAGATCCATAACTACAAACATCGAATCCATCAGTAATAGTAAGCTTGATAAAAAAAAAAAATCCAAACCATTGTGCTACTTCGGCGAGGAAGATGAAATCGTGAACAAAGAAATAAAATCATATCCATTCGCAGAGAAGTGCAGAATGACTTAATATATAAATGAGTACAATGAAATAACCAAGGAAGATGAAGGAAATCAAGACTCGATTAACATTCTCAGAAAGATAACCGTGGATATCCAAAGAAATAGAACAAAAATAGCATTCTCACAAAACATACCTTCAGAGACTCTATTAGGGTTCTACGAAGGAGATATGAACGAGAGCTGCTTGCAAAATTAGGGCAGATGAGCGACGAGGCGAAGGGAAGCGACTAGCGAGAGTCTTTCTAAACAATGAAATGCAGATTGCGGGTAGGACACTGCGGATCCCTTGTAATAGTAAAATTGAAACTCCGTTTTGTAAAACATATATGACACATTTTATCCAAACGCGAGGTACACTACCACACCAAAAACGTCCTCCCAAACACATTCTTAGGTAGGAGCGAAAAAAGAAAGAGAAGAAAGTATGTGATATCGAGTTTAGTTGTGCCGCATTAAACTTGTTATAAAATTTAAATTTTATGCTATTAACTAAAAAATATATAGTTAAGGATATTAATATAATTTACTTTGATTAAATAGAATTATTTAGAATTAATTAATTTTATAAGTTATCAGAATATTTAAAACTGGAAAAACAATTATTTAAGTTATTTACATTCAATAAAATTTAATTTGAGTTGATTAAATTTAAATGTACAAGAATTACTAAATTAAATTCCACTAACAGCCCAATTGTCGCTGCATTGTTCTCAGCTCACTATCAAGATTTTGTTCGAGAATTCAAGCGTCGGGGCCATGGAGGGAAAGCGCGGAGAAAACCCTAGATTTTTCGTCGCTGTTCACGTCGGCGCTGGCTTTCACTCCCCGTCTAATGAGAAATCTTTCAGAAGAGCAATGAAGAAAGCCTGCCTATCTGCCGCGTACGTTCTCCGGAAGGTACTTTACTGATTCCAGCATTCTCTTTTTTTTTTATTTCTGGGCTCAGATCTGCATTCAAATCCCAATTTATTTTGCTTTTTTCGCTCCTTATATGTTGATGGATGCGGTGTATGCTCAACTTATAAATGTTTGCATGGATTAAATATTGGTTTTGTTTGAATCGAAGCGGATTTAGTTTATGACGATGAGTTGGCAGAATAAAACTATTGTTTTGTCTTTTCCTGCTATGCTTGGCTTTTTTTTACATGACCAGAAGTCATGCCTTTAGCTTTAATTTTCTAAAAAACCAAATAACAACTGAAGCGGTTGAATTGAAAAGAACAGTTTCTTACATTGTAATAAGCTTATTTAAAACTAGTAAATTAAAAAAAAAAAACAAATGAGATATTTAATCAGAAAATTTACGAGGATCAAAACATTTGAATTGGCGACAGACTGCAGTGATGCTTTAACAAAAGTAAAGCAGATCAAAGGAAGCACAATCTAAAAACAAAAGGATTATAGTGGTTCAGTATCAAATGAAGCCTTTTATTGCAAATCCTCGTGGGTTAATCTAGGCACTCTCACAAGTTGTGTATCATAGCTTATAGTGGAGTAAATCACAATTTAATCTATTAGAACTTAATGAAATTATGACCTTAATAGGACACAATGGAGAAAAAGGATTCATGTGGACCCCACGTAGTGGGATTATGGCTTTGTTGTTGTTGTTGCTGTGAAGTAAATGACAATTTATTTTATGGATACTGAGATTCAACCCCATAAACACTTCCGTTTTAACAAAATGTAAAGAAGATCCTATAATTAAATTTGCAAAGATTAAGCAAGACAAACTAATTTTAAAGATTCAACTCGTATTGTAGAAAAAATATAACAAGTGACTCTCAACGCACATTAACATAAAAAAGTTTAGAACTTTCTTTAATGAAGCAGAGTGATAAGAAATTCAAGCAAATAATAAATTTAAATCTAAACGGAAAATCGTACTATGCTTTCAAGAAAGTTAGATTTTGAGCCTCTAAAGCACTCTGATGAAGGTTTCCAATTGATTCTGCGAAGGTATGTTGGAAATCTTTAGAAAATAAAGTTTCCTTCTGTCAGTGCTAGGAATTGTTAGAGGTCAGAGAAGATTATCTATGTTTGGGTGTTATATGTCGACGAGGATAATGGTGCATAGTTGGGAAACAGGAAGGAATCTTTCTCCCTCACTTAGGATTAGATAAAATTTTGAACATTTCAAATGCTTATATTTGCTTTAACATTATTCAAGGTTTAAGGAAGTCGGCTCATACCTCATACCGAGTTTCAGCATATTTTTGTGACTATACCTTTCGTATGGTTTAGAATTTTTAGCTTATATCAGACTTAACAAATGATAAAGAACAACTTATGAAGTGAATTAAAATATTTATAAATCAATTGTCTAAACCAAGGATCTATTTTAAAAACAATCAAGATATCCAATGCAACACCCTAACTAACAATGACTGCTACCCTCACCTAGAAGGTTAAAAAGCACAGGAGTCCATGAGAATGAAATAAACTTGTAGCTGTTATCAGACATTAATGGCATCGTCCATACCGAGTTGTTCAGGTAATGCATCACTTTGTCATTATTGATATCTTGTGAACTATAAATATTGCGAGAATTATCTTACACAGTGAAAATAGTGATTGCTTTATATTAAGTAAACCATTTTAACTCATCAAAATACGATGGACTCATTGATAAACTTTTCTAGATTTGATGTTAAACATTTTTTGTAATACATCCTAAATCTTTCTACCAATCTGTTTTTTTTTTGCAAGCCAGTTATTTTTCCAAAATATGTGGAAAAGTTGTCTATATTGGTAATTATTTATTTATGATATAGTAGTTTTGTTAAAAAAAGAGATTTTTATTTTTTTAACTTTTTAGTTTAAGGATCAGTTCTAAGACTTGTTTTAAAATTCAGTCATAAAACATTTATTGAACTGTTTGTTTCATTTATTGTAGACTTTTACACACATGGCACTCATATAGGAAGTTGGCTTATGTAGGATTCATGTACACTATTTAGTTTAACCTGAATAAATATTTGATTTAGTAAATTTAGTCACTGTTTAGTTCATGATAACAAGCAATTACTGTTCTTTGATAATCTTTGTGATGCTGTGAGCTCTCCTATCTTTTCCCACTGCAGTTTTTTTTAATGTTTTTTTTTTAAATTTTCATCTTCTTATTTATTACGAGGGATATTGCTTTGTTGAACTTTCAGAGTACTGGTGGTTGTCTAGACGCTGTTATAGCTGCCACTAAAGTTCTGGAGGTATGGGACTTATTTTGTGTGGAAAATTGATGATATTGCTATTGGTAATTGCTTCAAAGCTATAGTAACAGCAATATTTGTACACTAATAAAATCTTTAAAAAAAATATTTAACTAGTAGATTAATTTATAAATATTACCATACTTATTTATACATGCACACCTATATTTATCAAAATGATTGTTATAAAAACTAGAATTTATAAAAATGCTTCTCATCTTTCTTAAGACACTTGACAATTGGTTATAAGTTGATAATAATAATAATAATACCCTTTTAACATTTTTAGTTATTACACATGCACTTCCATCAAACTCTTCTACTCTTGCAAAATAAAAATATTTTCAAACTTTTATAATATCTTGCTAAATTTCTCTTTTATAAGGTTTTTACCTGCTAGGCATCTATGTACGTTACTGTTGCTAACATCAAAGTAATTGTTAAAAAATATTGTTTCTTTGCTATAGGATGATCCAATCACAAATGCAGGTCGAGGTTCAAACTTGACAGAGCTCGGTCACGTAGAATGTGATGCCAGTATCATGGATGGCTTTTCCGGAGCCTACGGTGCTGTGGGGGCTGTTCCAGGTACTTCTTAATAAATTTGAAATGGCTTGGATGATTTAACTGATGATGAAGTTTATTTGATGCTGGCCTAGTTTCACAGTCATATTTGGTACAATGTAAATAACATTTTTTTTTTGAGGTGAAAAGTTTTAAAATAGTCCCCAACTCTTTGCAGGGGGTCATTTAAGTCCTTGAGTTTTTAAAAGTGCCAAATTATACTCCTTAAATCGGGGCTGAAATAGTTATACAGTGACAATTTTATAGACTACGGGACTAAACTTGCCCCATGAAAACAGTCAAGGAGCTTTTTTGGCACTTTACTCCTTTTTGATTTGCTGATTAAACTGTTATTGTAGATCAGGTGTTCATAATGCCATACAGATTGCTGCTTGCTTGGCCAGAGAGCAAATAATGGGTTCTTCACTACTTGGGCGAATACCACCAATGTAATTCTTTTATGACTAATTATAAGTGTAGGAGATGATTTCATGATGTTAAATTAGCTTTTTTGAATCATGTTGTTAGGTTTTCATCGGTCTAGTAGGAGAAAGAAGAGATAAGAAAAAATGCATTAAGGAATGAGAACATATTTGCAATTTGAGACTAGATCCGCCTTTAATGTTATTAAGGGCCCGTTTGGGGTAGTTTAAAACTGCAGGTAATGAAAACACTGCTGTATTATTTGGATCGCGCGTTTCGCGTGCGTATCTAAAAACTGCGTTTTAATTTTGTGAAACACGTCCTTTACCTGATTTTCCTTGGAACACATCTCGCCGCAACAGCGGATGGAGTGGGTGGGCTAAGGACGACATCAATGTCATTAATGATTTTAGTGATGAAGCTCTGCACAAAGCTAAATTTGGAAGATACACGAAGAAGCAAGTCTTCATGGATGCGGAGGGAGGTGGAGGTGACAATAGAGAGAAGGGTCTTGACGATGAGTAGCTTGAGTGTTTCATTGACATGCGAATGGTAGGCCTCGCCAATGAGTTAGGTGAGGAGCTGCGCGTCGGGGGAGGAGGAGGGGTCTGCCTCCCGTGGCAGTAGGAATGAGAAATAAGTTTGCAGGTGCAATCGAGCGCGGGCTCCGCGAGTTTTAGGGAGTCAGAGGAGCATGCAAAAATGAGGGGGGGAAATGAACATCTCAGACTCGGCTAGGGAAAGGTCGAGGGGGCCAGGGATGGAGTTGGAGGAGGAGGCGGGAGAGGAGGGGGAAATGATTTGGTGTTAGATATGTAAATATATAGGCATGTATTTAAATCTTTCATATTTATATTCTTATATCAAAATTGAATTGGGTGTTTTTTTATTAATCTTTTTTTCAATTTGAATGATTTTTTTTTTCATGTAATTTTCTGACTGATCTATTCTCTCTTAAATAATTGTAGTATCCAAAATAAGGACAAAATGATCATTTATTCAGAATCAGCTGTTTTCTAAACACACAAACCAAACAGTTAGACAACTTATCCAGATAAGCTGCTGATCAGTAGCTTATCAGGATCAACAGCTTATCTGGATAAGCTGCAACTGCCTCAAACAAACCCTACATATTAGTAATAAAAGCCTTCAATACGGAATTTGCTTTTGTGCACGGTGAATGATTCTTTCATTATGCATTGAACGAAAGAATGCAAAAGCTATTGAGAATTACGCATTTAAATTCCTTGAATAGGTTGATAAAACGATAACATGATTTGACAATTGACATAATAACATGATGTAGTTTGAACTTTGAAGTATTTTCATCCTATTTAAGCATCTGTCCCGTATTTCTGATTGTTTAATTCCAATGTTTCTGTGTGCTGTTGATCCATTTGACCTAGTTTCACAATTTACTAACTAAAAAAAAAAAAAAATCAAATGGCAGCTTTCGAAATTTATTGGAATGCATGAAACATTTTAGTAAGTGTGTAGAAAATTGCAATATCTGTAGGGTTACAGCAATAGTAAAACTGATATTGTTTGGTGTTGGTTACGGATATGCTCGCAATACATATTCAATACAAGCTACCCTGATGTATACTATTTATAGATGTCATGTATGCTTGGAAATTTTATCTGAACAGACGTGAAAAAAGTATAAATTTGAGAAGATAATATGATTACGGTTAACTCAAGGAAATTCTAGTTTCCTAATATGCAATGTCAGTGAAACTTGAATTAATAATAAATCAATGATGTTAAAGGATCATGAGATATATGGATGTGATGTGTTTATATATTCCGGTTTTGCTCTACAAAAGAAATAGTATATAATGGGTAGAACATGATGACTCCACGACTTCTCTAAACAGTAAAAAGATGTGATATCATATTGATCTAGAAATCAATAACGGTGAGTTTAAATGAATTTGAGGTTACTATTTAGATAAATAGGTAAAATCAAAGAGGTTTTCTAAATTCACTTTAAAACAGATCTGGTCAAAATTAATCGATTTTCCTAAATTTCAACCAAAATTACAAAAACAATTCTTAGCTAGAGAGCGTAGAGGTGATACAATCAACCTTCCAGGCATTAATTTCATCTTTTAGATTCAGTTTCTTTGGTTAAAACAGCTGCAGCAATTTTTTTTTGTTTTTCCAGTCAGTTGATTTCACCCTATCTTCTTCAAAACTTGTTGGTTTGACTGGAATTCCAGCTATCCAAAACTGTGCAAAGCTGAAATAAGTTTGGTGGATCACTTATTAAAGAAATTGCAAAATAAAAATGACATATAAATGGGATACAGATAACCTGATTGGGTCTTCTTGAATTTAGGATGCTTTAAGTCTTCTTCTAAATTTCAGTTTTCTTGGGGTGTTGAAAGCAATTGAACATTGTATACCGCTTTCTTTCACACCTCCTTACTGCTTTTCTGGATTGAATTTGCCACAAGATCCCAGATGTGGGTTCGTTTTCCTCCCCTTATAAAGAAAACTGAAAAAAAATTGTATCTAATAACCTCCCCAAGGTTTTACTAATACTTCTCCAAGGTCTGACTAACGAATTTCTGCCGCTAGTACTCTGTCAGAGAAGATTCAAGCCAATGCACTGTTTAGGTTTTGCTATGGACAGCCACTGGAAGATGAATTCTGAGTGTTGGAATCAATTTTTAGCAAAAAGAAATTAATAAATAATTCATGTAACCACTACAACTTAATTTTTGTTTTCAGAAAATAGTAATTTTCAACAATAAAATGCAATTCATTCTCATATTGCATAACTATTAATAATAAATTAGAAAATAACTTGGCTGTCGAGTAAGAAACTTATGTGGAATGCATTTCTTCTCCTCTTTATTTTCTACTTCTGTATTAGTCATCCCCAAGACGAATCTCTATTAATATCCATTTCTCTTATCTTAGTTTTTGGAAATTCAGCATCAGATCTAAACTTCAGCATTCATGTACATTTGTTGGAGTTCTACCCAAACTGTCACTTAAACTCTGTTCTACGTTATATTCAGGTTCTTAGTAGGTGAAGGTGCCCTCAAATGGGGGAAGTCTAAGGGAGTTCTTTTGCCAGCAACTATTCCTGAAGCTGAACGGGTAATTTATTCTGATGTTCCATTTATCTTCAATGAGTTCATCTATCTCACAATTGTTCTTTTTTGGAATATGGTTAACTTTGATGAAACTTGGGATGCTCTTATATTTGATATTTGAAGACTGGATTCACATTATTTTGACTTTGCTTCATTTTTTCTTGCCTGTCTTTAATTTTTAACAGTGGCTGATAACAGAGAGGTCCAAAGGACAATGGTTAAGGTACAAATCCATGCTTGCTGATGCTAAGAAGCAGAATGAGCCCAATTTCATGCGATTTAGCGAAGACTCTAAGATAAATGGATTTCTGTCGCCAGGGTCAGGTGGCATATTGTTCTCTCATCCCTCTTTGATCTAAAGCTTGGCATGCACACTTTGTTGGATTGATGGTGAATATAAATGCATATATTTGCATTTGACAAAGTTCCTTTGTATTAATTGCGCGCGAGTAAAATGCCAAAGGCCCAAAATAGTCGTCTACCTGTTTAGGTAAGACCATTTTAGTCCCAAATTCTATAAGAGTGTCAAATTAGTCCACAAAATCTTTAAATTAAAATTGAAATAGTTCTTCGTGTGGACAATTTCAGCACATATTAAAAGTGTTTGGGGACTAAATTGATATTTTGTAGACTATGGGGTGCAAAGATCTTGGAGTCTATTATGAGATTTTTTTCATCGTGCATCAATCAACAAAAAGAGGCTTTTGGTTGGATTGGGACGACTATGATAACGGATTTTGATCAACAAAGATAATTTTATTCTATTTTTCGAAAGTAGCATTTAGAAATAGTTGAAAAGGGAAGGAAACATTTTTTTTTGGCTAAATAGGTGAACACACACACACACACAGTTTTACTAATATAGTTTATCATTATGACATTGTTGGAAAGTGTTAATTCGTATGCTTGATTAAGAAGTAATTTGTTTTCTTCCCTCAAATATATATTCAGTAGTTATGTTTCCTTTTAATATATATTTTCTGTTTTTTTATTTTCCTATTTGTTGGGATTCTTAATTTAAAAGTATTTTACTTTCCTTCTTTGTATACTGGTAGGCTTGCCATGCTATTATATATATGTAGTAAGATGTAATGCATTAGTGTAGAGCGAGATATAAAAAAAATTCCCTAATTTTTGATGCGCGTGCTGGAGTTTCCCTCACAGATGCGGGAAAGAAGCTAGCCGACTGAACCAGGCAACCAACTGGCATAGGGGCCGGTCCATGATTCCAAATGAATCGAGAGGCATTAAAGGAGAGCGGCACTTGCGGCTTTCCTTTCGTGTCTCTTGCCTGGATCGAGCATCGTTTGGAGAGGGCGACATTGCTGCCTGCCCTTTTTTCTTCCTTCCTTTCTCGTCACCTTCCTTTTTTTTGTTTCCCACCCAGCTAGGTCTATTTTTATGCTTGTTTTCCGAGTTTATGCGGAGTTTTTTTGCTATGTTCTACTTTAAGATTTCCTGTGTGGAGAGTTTTCCTTGTTATAGGGTCGCATCCGAGGAGGTGGTGGTGCTCTAGATATATGCTACTCCAATGTTGTGTTGTATCCTTACTTTTGCCCTCTCTACTCCTCCCCTCTCCAACAATTTCCGACCTCCTTATCCTTCATCCCAATACACGACCACCCTTCACCCAAGTGCTTACTCTAGCTATCCGACTCCCCGGATGTCACCCCAACCTACAACTTCCCTGTCCCTATAGTCTAGCATTGCTGTCCCCAACCTTCATCCCCAGCCTCGGTTGTCACAGTTCTGCAACAAAACCTGCTGTCCAACCCTCCATAATTGTTGTCCCTGTAGTTCCACTCCTTCCCCTTGCTGTGTCCAACATTCATTTGCTGCCACTACCCCTGCGAACCATCTCAATCCACCTGACCGACCTCCATCACCTTCAGAATACAGTTTAGAGGTATTTGCTTTAGTCGTTTATGTTTTGTGTTTTTATTTTTGGTTGTGTTGTAAATCGCTATTTCAATAAAGTTTTGCTTTGTGTGTTTCCGCTGTTTTCCCTATGTGGTTTCGATATTAGCTAACCATAGGATGGGACTATTTATTACAGAGACTTCGACATCAAGGTAGATCTGTCAAACTTCGAAGGAGGTATGGATCCTGAGGAATTCATTGATTAGTTACAGGCTGTTGAGCAGATCTTTTAAGTATAAAGATGTGCCTGAGGATTAGCGGGTCAAACTAGCGGCCATCAAGCTGAAGAAGAGTGCTTCTCTGTGGTGATGGTGATAGAATTACAAAGACAAAGGAAAATAAAGGGCCGCAACAAGATTACTAGGTGATAGAAGATGAAGAAAGCAATGTAGAAGAAGTACCTCCCACCCATTACTGCCAAGATATGCTTTTGAGGCTCCATCACTTGCAACAGAAGGATTTATTTGTAGAAGAGTCCATGAAGTAGATTGATCATTTGCAGATGAAGTGCGATCTGTCGTAGCTAGAGGAGAACACGGTGGCCATATATCTTGGGGGCATGAAGCCTAGTATTAGCAATGTGGTGCAGCTAAAATCGTACTGGACGCTAAGGATGCCCAAACACTAGCTCTGAAGATCAAAAGACAATAGAAGCAAAGCCGAAATCAATCATCCTTCAGGCGTGCAGTCATCTTCAGTTATAACGATCGACAAAAGTACCCCGGGAGACACAGGCAAGGCCGAGCAAGGGATTGAATCTTCAGATCATAGCGAGAAAAAATAGGAGAAAGGTAGCTTCTCAACACCTTAGCGGTCAGGAAGTGTTATAGATGTCATGACTATGACACAGCCTCCAGCTTTCTCACGAGTAGGAAAGTCACACTCACAGATCAGGGTATTGTGGAGGAGATTTGCGACGCGGAAAAGCTGAGGAACATGGTGAATTGTATCAGCTTCTCCCAAATGAAGGAGAGGCACTCATGATTCGACGGAACCTGCAAACTAAGGACACGACGGATTCATATTGACTTCACCACAAAATTTTCTACACCTGTTGCACAATGAACAGAAAGATATGCAGTCTTATCATCGACAGTGGGAGCAGTAAAAACATGACATCAACACAGATGGTAGAAAATTTGGGAAGTGCAACTCAGAGACATTCCCAGCTGTATTCACTGACGTGACTGAAGAAAAAGAATCGAGTCAACATCGATCGAAGATGCTTCGTAGAGTTTTTGATTGGGGGTCAACTAAAGGACTAGATGTGGTGTGATGTGGTTCTTATGGATGCCTGCCACCTTTTGTTGGGAAGATCGTGACAATTTGACTGAATAACCAACATGATATATTCAGAAACACATACTCATTTGCCAAGGAGGGTAACACATCATTCTGCTTCCTTCGATAGAGTCTGAGATCACAAGAACTCTTTACAGCAGAGCAACGTTAGTGAGGCATGTTCTAGTGATGACACAAAATGAGAGGACAGAGGCACTGGCTCCAGACACTGGACAGTTACGACAGATAAGATGTCAATGCCTCAAATTCAATACTATACCACCTACTCTAACACCAGACGGGAAGATTAAGACTATTCTCACAACACATCAAACTAACTCGATCGTGGGTTACCTTAGGAGGATCCAACAATACAGGCATGAGCATAGTCTTAGGTGAGCGGATCGAGAGGGACATGGGTGCGCAAGTGGTGTTGACTTCTTTGATGCTTGACCGACAATGCAACTGACAGTGAGAATTAGAATTAGAGAGAAGGAACTAGAAGTTTCGACGAATGAGGTTGAAGCCCACCCAACATCAAGAGACCAACACGAGTTTGAGAGTTTCCCACACGCATGCGGGAAACAAGCCGACTGGTTGAGCTGACTGGCATGGAGGTTGGTCCAGGGGAGCCCGCTCCATGATTCCAAAAGAATGGAGAGACATTAAAGGAGGCCAACACTTGTGGCTTTCCTTTCGTGTCTCCCGCCTGGATCGAGTAGCATTTGGAGAGAGTGGCATGCTGCCTTCCCTTTTCTCCTCCTTCCTTTCTTGTTGCCTTCCCTTTCTTGTTTGCTAACTAGCTAGGTCTATTTATATGCTTGTTTTCTGAGTTTATGGGGAGTTTTTTGCTGTGTTATACTTTCAGATTTCCTGCGTGGAGGGTTTTTTTTATTATAGGCTGTATTCGAGGATTTGATAGTGCTCCGGCTGTATACTACTCCAAGATGATGTTGTATCCTTCCTTTTACCATCTCTACTCCTCCCCTCTCCAGCAGCCGCCGACCTCCCCATCCTTTAACCCAACACCCAACCACCCTTCCCCCATGTGCTTACTCTTGCTGTACAGCTCCCCGGACGTCCCCACAACCTTCAACCGCCCTCTCCTTACAGTCAAACATTGCTGCGCCCTCCCCAATCTTATCCCCAGCCTTCGTCGTCATTGTTCTGCAGTAAAACCTGCTGCCCTTCATCATCGCCGCCTTTGTAGTTCTGCACGTTCCCCTCGCTGGCTCCAACATTCCTTTGCTCCCACCACCCCTGCCAACCATCTCGATCCACTCAGCCGACCTCCACCGCCCTCAGAAAACATCTTAGAGATGTTTGCTTGAGTCGTTTATTTTTTGTGTTGTTATTTTTTATTATGTTGTGTTATAACCTCATCCCTGTATCAATAAAATTTTGCTTTGTGTGTTTCTGCTGCTTTCGCTACTTGGTTCCTGTATCAATTTTTTTCATGGTATCAAAGGCGTCATTCTCTCCCGTCGCAAGTTTTTTATTTGCCTTCTCCCTTAGGCGGTGCGTTTAGTGAACCTCTTTCTCGCACACGCAAACTCACGACTTGGCATCGTGAAAAATTTCATTACTTTCTTGTCACTCCTGTGAGTTATCTAATAATCTCGTCATGACTCTTGCATTTATCTTGCAACCGACATCCCAAAATCTCGCAAATGTCTGAAACATCCACTAGTTCCGTGCTCCTCGGAAATCTTTAAGGACGAAGTGTGTAGTGACATGCTCCGCATTTTTAGTGATGGATCCATCCATCAAAGCTACGAACCAAGACTTCTCGTTACCATCAATGACGACTGTTCTATAGAATTCTTCGGCGCTATCTTCAGCTCCAACCTTAACCTTCATCACCATCCTCCTCTCCCGTTCGCTAAACTTTACGATCGATTTAGGGCCCGTTTGGGGCAAGCTTATTTGGTGCGGTGGTGGCAGCTTATTTGGTGCGGTGGTGTTTTGAAAATGCACTTGACCTGTTTGGGTAAACTGCGTTTTAGCAGATTATTCGTTTTCAAAACGCAGAAAACATCGTTTTCACACTGCACCTATCTAGGTGCGGTGGGAGCTTATTGGCAACAGTCTGAGTTTTCCAAAAAAATAAAAATTTGTAAAATTTGTAATAGTCAACCTAGCTTATCAGCTTATCAGCAAATTATTCAATAAGCTACAGCTGCCCCAAACAGACCCTTAGCTTGCCC